ATATACAAGTGCGTACCCCATTTAACATTTCACCAAGCATTATTCATGATGAATTATCTTCTGTTTGCGGTGAACAAGCTTCTTCTCTTAGAACAGTTCAAAGATGGTCTAAATCGTTTCGTGAAGGGCGAGAAATAATTGAAGATGAAGCAAGACCTGGAAGGCCGATCACTGAAACTACAGCTGAAAATATTGAACAAGTTCGCCTTCTAATCGATCATGACCCTCATATTACAATTGAGGAGGTACAGGAGCAAACTGATTTAAGTTATGGGACTGTGCAGCGAATCCTCTCAGAACATTTAAAGCTTAGGAAACTTACCGCTCGTTATGTATCCAAGCTTCTTAATGATTTTCAACGGTCAGAGCGAGTTCGAATATGCGAGGAAAATTTAGCAAAATTGCAAAAAGAAACATGGCGTTTCTGTGATGTAATAACTGGTGACGAGTCATGGTTTTATCATCAACAAATTGGTCGCAAATCATCAAACGCTGCGTGGGTGTCAAGAGGAGATCCTCCACCTGTTGTAATTCGACGCAGTAAGTTTGCTCCAAGAACATTATTTTCCATTTTTTTAAAGTCAAACGGTTATGTCCTCATTCATCATATGGGAAGAGGGCAAACAATGGATCACCATTATTATATCAACAATTGTTTGCGACCTCTTGTCGATGAAATCAACTGTCAAAGACCGTCCTCTGGTATTCGTGATATCATAATTCATCACGATAACGGAAGACCACATGTTCATAAAAATGTGACCAACTATCTTGAATCGGAAGGAATTAGAATAATGCCACATCCACCTAATTCTCCAGACCTAGCACCATGTGACTTTTGGTTATTCGACTTAATCAAAGAAAATCTGGATGATCATAATGATTCAAAATCATTACGTGGTGCTGTCACTAAGTTTATGTACTCACTGAGCAAAGAAGAATATAAAAAGACTTTCGATAAACGGTTGCAAAGAATGCAGTTATGTATAGATAATAAAGGGGATTATTTTGAATATTTTATGAAATAAACATTAGTTGAATTCCTTTTGTTTTTTATTTCGCATCATTATCACATTTTGCAGACTAAACTATCTACGCGGTCAATCACATGGCAAGATGAGGAAAAAGGGAAAAAAGATAAGAGAAAAATTAGAAAAGAACGAGAAAAAAGCATACAAGGATGATAACATAATGTAATACCACCAGCTAGCTTCCAACAAAAACTGTTCTTACCAAGGTTTTCTTATTTGAATATTGAGTGAAGGTCGATCAAATAGCATAGAAAGATAGAGCGAAAGACGCTCTATCTGTTTATACAAAAGAGACATTTTCTTCCCTTATAATAACGTTATAAGACCCTGACGACACTACTTTTCGATTGCCCTAAGTATATGATTTTTGGAATGGTGAAAGATCTTTGTTGTTCATTTTGTAAACTCAGCTCTTAAAACATTTGCTGAGAATTTCGAATGATATTATTTTGGCAAAAACTTCATATATTGTTCAGTTTTATCAGTTTTTCTAACCAAGTAGTCATTTTATATCAATTCCTTGAAGATTTTCTTTCCTTATGCAAACGATAAAATTGCATTTCTAGACAGAACATAAAAGTATGAAAAAGGAGGATAAATAATCATCGAGAGTTATGGTCTCGTCCCTAGCAGAAATTTTTATATACCGAGTGTGCCAAAAATTCCTTCCTAAAAGTTTTTTTGCATATCTGTGGTATTTCATTTAACTTTATCGACAATTTTTTTTTAATTAAAGGTGAAGATACCGAATTTTATTTATCCAAATGGCTTTCCACATTAACCTGCAAAAGTATTACTTTTGATCGAAATATAAAAATTTTGGTTTGTTTATGAAATGTAAGAAATTGAAGAATCATCAAAGTTTTTTCTCTTTGATATTTTCATATGAGTGGACAGAGCTCGTCGAGTTCTACAAGAATTTGTATAGTGAAAGATTTGAGATCCTTTTCTTTGCGGAATTTACAGAAAACTACCACAAAAAGTCGAAAAAATTAAAGAAAAAAACGGATGTATATTATTTTTCTGGAAGTAGAAGGAAAGAAAAATTTTTATATTTCCATGAAAAGTAACACTTTTGCAGATTAATATGGAAAAGCCATTTGGATAAATAAAAACTCGGTATATTCAACTTTAATTTTAAAAAAATTTTCGATAAAGTTAAATGAAATAGCAAAGATATACGAAAAAACTTTTAGGAAGGGATTTTTGGGACACCCGGTATATATTTCTTAGCAAGAGCCTTTTCTTCTTTCTATTTTCTGCTGAACAACCAATATTTTTAGTTTTCGTTAATGCATCTTGTTCGTTGTGAATCATAATCATGTATTCAGAGATTTATTTATATACTATATGCACAGCTAATGGAGGAAGAAAAATATTTTGTTAAACTGATGGTGGTGACAATGTTCTGGATTTTTTAATAAAAAAATTAATAGAAAATAATTCTTTTCAAATAGGGTACTGAATTCATAACCAATTATGTAAAAACATTATGAATTAGATACAGCTATTTTATTAACAAATATATGAAGCTTGAATAAATGCTTCCAAACATCTGTTGAATCTTTTATCAATTCAATTTTTGATGATTCAAAATAACATACGTTCCTTTTTTTCAATACGATAACAAAACGAACATTCTTTTTTGAAATTTATTTCTCAATTAATCATATCCATTTCCTTGATATCAATCATCGTTTTCCATTTTTAATAAGATACCGGAGAGAAAAAAAGTAGCACACGTGTTATTTCATGTAGACACACGTGGGCGTCAAAATCATCGATAGAACGAAGTTCAGAAGAAATATATTGTTCATTTTGTAAAACAAGCTCATAATGTACAATAATAATAATTTTGTAATTCCCTCGATTTAGTTTGTAACTGAGTACCTTGATGTTGTAAAAAACATATAGTTGTCAATTTACTAATGTGCAAGATACATCGACCCAAATAAACTATGTTCGCTAATGTGATTTTTTGTTTATGTATGAAAGAACAAACTTAGAAGAAAAGCAAGACTCAATAGTCAAATAGGTTTTCTTTAAATTAGAAAAAAATGATCAGCTATTATGTTCGATTGAATCCATATTGATATTGAGTAATTATAACTTCGACGAAAGTACAAAAATTAACTAATGTACTAAAAGTTAGATTACCATGTCTTTAATTTTAAGTTGATCTGGAATATCCGTATATTTAAAGAAAAATTTCTGAGTTCTATGTGATTTATTAACCCTTTACCCATGATAGGGCCTAACGAGAGATAGTGCTAATTACAAGTAACTCTTTTTGCGAAGAATGAAAGCAATTAGAGCAAAGCATAAATGAAAAGCACATAAACCTATGAGCAGAGATAACATGAGTCATGAGTAGACATCTGCGTCACCAGTCACGATGGTCACGATGGTAGGGGAGAAAATGGGTACGTAATATTTGAACAAGCAATTCAGATATTACGTACCCATTTTCTCCTCTACCATCATGATCGTCGTGACTGGTCACGCAAATCTCTAGTCATGAGCGACGGTATACATAGTCGAACTACCTTTGGTATGCGAGCAGAATATATAGACCATCAACGAACCAGTAGTTTGAGACGTGTAGAACAGAACAGAATTATACGAAAATGGTGTTGTGGGATGGAAGGCTCGAACACAATGCTAATGTTCGAGAAACGAACACTTTGCTCTTCCGCTATTCCTCTCTAAACAAAAATTTCTTTGAGATCTCCTTACTTGTTTTATGAAACTCTTCAAACCTATTGCATTATCATGATGACAATTATTTATTATTTTCCGAAGGCTGTCTTAAGAATATTGATCACAATTTTCTTCTCATATTTTTTTACCCTGTGCGCACATATGCATGTGAGCGAAGGAAGATGGCAACGTTATTATCAAAGAAAAACGCGACAGCCTCTTCTTCGAGATAAATAATCGAAAAACTCAGTTAAGAATTCGTATTGTAAAGAAAACTTTGTTTTTTGTGTACTCAAAAAGTGAGTACACTCTAGAATCGGTCAGTGTGTCCGTCCGGCCGTCCGGCCGTTAACACGATAACTTTTGAAAGGAGAGTCCAATCGCGATGAAATTTTCTACACAGTTCAGTCTTAACAATGTCTCGGTCGAGTTCGAAGATGAGCAGGAT